AAAAAAAAAAAAAAAAAAAAGACCATCTTACAGTCTTCACCAAGCAGCATGGGCAGAACAGAAAGCTTTGGGCTTGTCGTTACCAATCAAACCACAGTATCCAGAGGAATCATGTCTGCTCTTCACTTGTGTTCATCGTTTCCAGTGCCACACAACAAATACAAAGTGTCACCCTGTAACCAGAGCCAGGCTAGGAGTTGCTAGCAATAGGTAGGCCACCTAGTCGTGTCAGTTGGCTTTCTTAGATCTCAGCCATCCTCATAACCTCTCAAGAACTCATTCATGTGGAAATACTGCAAAATGTGCTGTTTATCTGTAAGTACCAAATCCAGTGAGGTAAAAATTCTCCCAGACTAGTACTGTACCCTGTCCCCTAAATCCTAGTGGGACTATTGGGAGAGGGTGTGATATGGCTAAGGTTACTCTTGGTGATGTTTTTAGTTCCATTGAAAATGGTTGAGCAGGGGGCCAGCCCCATGGTGCACTGGTTAAGTTCGGTGTGCTCTGCTTTGGCGGCCCAGGTTCATGGGTTTGGATCCCAGGCGTGGACCTACACCACTCGTCAGCCATGCTGTAGCGGCAACCCACATATAAAGTGGAGGAAGACTGGTACAGATGTTAGCTCAGGGCTAATCCTCCTCAGCAAAAAGTAAATTATTTTTAAAAAAAGGTCAGGCAGGGTTCGTTACCCACTTTGACAGGAGAAAATTGAGGTCACAGGTTAACTGGCAGCCGCATAGCATATAATTATGCTAATGTGGGGGAGGGGTGGCACACAGATAAATTATCTGCCCCACTGCATGGTGGGCAGATGGCAGACCATGGGTCAAGCACCCAGGGGTGGGGCTTTAAACCTTGGGCTAAAACCATTCCTGAGCTCTCTGGGATACGGCTGGCAGGTGCACTGAGGATGTACACAGCAAGTGTGCTTGATAACACAATCCAACTGGGGAGTGGGTAAAGTGCGTTTATTTTCTTCTATATGTGTTTTTTTTTTTTAAAAAAGGAAAAGGAGAAAAAGCCTCCTCCTTCCAGCCCCCAATGTCCACTGGGCTTGGAGGGGGTGGAGCCAAGGCCAGCCCCCTAGGAGAAGGTGTAGGAGTAGAAGGCAACGGCATTCGTGCTGTAGTCCATGGGGAGGAGGTGCCCAATGTGCCTGGCCCCTAGGCTGGCCCCGCCCAGGGCGGAGGAGTGCCGCAGCTTCATCAGGGTGAAGCTAGAGAAGGAGCTCTGGGCCTGGATCTCTCTGCCCTGGGTCAGCGCCAAAAGGAAACCTGGAGAAAAAGGACAGAGATGAGAGGAAACCAGCAGCCTGTGGTGGAGACCAGGGAGGAGGAGGGGACAGAGGGAGGGAAAGAAGCAGCCCAGGCCCTGAGGCATTCCTGTGGAGGTCCTAGAGGGGCCCACATGCCAAATCCCTAACAGACAGTGCACCAGGGTACCTGAGCCCAGTAAGAGCTGTGTGGTACTGGGGCCAGCAGCCGCCGAGCACCGATGCTGGGAACTCCAAGGTAGCAACGGGGGTCCTCAAGCTACTTCAGAAAGTCTAATGGAAACCACACAGCCACCTGAAACAAGGCTGCAAGGGTGAAGAAGGCACATTTCGTTCCTTCTGGCTAGGATTATGCTGACTAGGGATGTCACCACATGCTGGTCAGAGCTCTGATTTTAAGTAAGATTCATCTTTAAAGTGGTGCTTATTTAATAAATCCTTTGGAAAAGAACATCTTTTTAAGAGTTCAAGGAAGCTGGATGGGACACTGAAAAAGGCTCCCTGGCAGAGTGAAGGTTGAGGGCCTTGGCCTGAGGCATCAGTGGCCTATCCAGGCCTCAGGGCCCAGGTCCTCCTTGGGGCAAGCAGCTTTCCTGGGCCACCTCATTTCCAGCCCCAGCCCTCGCCCTTGCCTGTCGCCTCCTGCCCCCACCCTGTACTTACCTTCCTTCAGCAGCTCCCAGCTCTTCCACACAGAGCCCACACACAGGATGGGGAGGCCAATCTCCCCTTGGAACAAGACCTGCGGGAGAGCAGAAATGGATGTTGGGGGCGACAAAGCCTCTCCAGTGCTGAAGGAGGTAGTTTCTTAAGACCAGCCCATCCTATCTCAGTTACTCTCCCTCTAGCCAAGAACCAGAAGGTGGACTCAAGAAAAAAAGGAAGGAAAACAGAGAGATTGATAAAGGCAAGGGAGAGAAGGGAAAGGAGAAGGGTTAAACAACAATACAGAGGAAGGAAAGAAGGGAGGGAAACAGACAGAAACATGACTGAAAAAAAGGGCACAGCACATGCACCACATTAAACCAATTTACCACATATAAATACAGATTACGGACCAGCCAGAGGGGAGGCGCTGGATCAAAGAACTTTTTTTTGTTACAGACTTTCTACAGAATTTTTCTCATAGTCTAAGTTCATTTAAAATCATATCCAATTTACAAAGTTTGATGGGACAATCTCAACTCTAATGGGAAAAGGCCAAACATGGCCCAGGAGCTCCCAGCCTTCATTTCCCACCTCAACTCACCGGGTCAATCTCAGGCAACACTGCCACAACGTGCCTGCCCAGCATCTCCCCAGCCTTCCTGAAGATATAACGGGAAAGGGGATCTCCCTGCTGGGCACCTGCAGGAGGAGGAGGGAAGGGAGCTGGTGAATACCCAGGAGCTGCCAGTCTCCAGTTATTTTCTCTCTGTTGCAGGGCAGCAATAGAGGGACCGCCTATCGCTAACAGACGTCTAAGTCAGGAATGGATGCCCACCTCGTGGCATGTGGGTAAGGAAGCCTCCAGACCTGCTTCTCCATCCTTCCTCCCCCTGCCCCAACCAGGTACTTCCACCCTAGGAGGGGTGTCCTGTAGAGAGGTAGCTCATTCCAGGCGCTTGGGAAAGGCAGCCCCAGTAGAGAAGCACACTGGCACCTGCTTTGTATCCACCTTACACTGAGTTTTTGAGTCTGTCCCTGAAGGTCTCTCAGCTCTGGGGACACAGGACTCTACTTGAGCAGCTGGCTGGTGCTCCTGTTGGGGCCCCCACCCACCTCCAACAGTCTGCTGTTGGTCAGACCCTTCCCAGCTCTGCTCTGACAGGGCCGCAGTCCAACAGGATCTAAGAGGGCCCTAAAATGCCCTGAGGCTGCAGGAATCCAGATTAAGGGAGTACGGACCCCAGAGTGGAGAAAGAGCAATGTGCAGACACGCAAGCCCTACGGTTCAGCTTCTCCTGACACCCAACCAAATATGCCTGACCTCTTCATGATCTCCTAGTTCCTTAGGTATCATTAGTTTAAAAAGAAAAGAAAAAGTTATAGATTTGCCCAAAGGGCAACTACTTCATAAATTTCTCAGAAACAGACATACAGCCTGCACAAGCCATGATAGCTATCAAGAAGAGAAACATAGGTCATATAAAACAATTGTCATTATAACCCACGTCCTTCACCTGCACCCAAGGCCCACGGTGGCAGAGAACTGAGGTCACTCGGTCAAAGGGAAATTGGCTTCCAGTCCCCCTCTGAACCCTATTCCACCCCCTAATTAGGGAAGTCTGGGGAACAAAGCCAGATAAAACCCTGTCCCGCCTCCAGTACCTTCTGCAATTTTCCGGCAGAACCCAGCAAACCTGCATTTATCAAAATCCCTATAAAGGTGGCTGAGGATTCCTAGCCGATCTGGTACCTGAGAAACAGAGACAGGGCACAAGATAGTCATCAGAAGCAAAGGAAAATTCCCCATCTGCTCAACCAAATTGGCCCTCCTGATGTTTTACTGTTGGAAAAGCTGGAATAATGTTTGTTGTTTTAAGCTGTAGCGAGTACAAGGATTTGAGATTTCTCATTTGAGACAAGTTCTTTGTTTCCCCAACATGGACTCCATTGCTCCTTACAGACTAGCCTGGATGCAGCAGAGCACAGATCTGTGCTCACCCAAGTGTGTTCTCCAGTTCCTTGAGTTGTTCTTGAAAAGACATCTTTGGTTAAAGGAATCTAAGAACTTTCTCCCTTAGAGAGTCACAATGCACATTAGCAAATTAAAGGCTCTGAGAAGTCCTGACCCAAGAAATCTATTTGTTTCTCCGAAACTTATTTGACCACAGAAGGTCCTTCTTCCACCCCAACAAACTTACACACCTGTAATGCCTCTGAAGTTCCTGAGGAACCAGTGATTGCCCAGAACACATCACTAAAATGGAAGAAGTGGGGGCTAAAATTTGAGCACCCACAGCAATGTATTAACCATGTTATACACACTATCTCATTTAATCCATGCAACGACTTTATAAGAACAACTAAAGGATAAAAAGAGGAACCGGTAGACATATTAGTGAGGTTTAGAACCAATCTGCTGAGTCAGGATGGCTTAACTCCCCTTCCTACAGCAACTGCTATAGAAGTGATTTCTCTTCCTGGTCCCTCCCTATTCCTCACCGTGGCCCAGGCCAGAGCTCTCCTTTCATCCTCAATCCCTGAGCTATGAGAACACAGGTCCTACTTTCCAGCATCTCTAATTTCCTTCCTTGGCCCATGTTCCAGCTCAACTAAGTGGCCCTCACTCAGAGATGTCCATCAAATAAACTTATCTTCCTTCTCCTCTCCCACCTTTTACCTCTAGTCCAGCTAAAAGCAGCTGTTTCCTAACCCACTACAAATGAACATGGCCCAGACAAGAAGGCCAGTCAATCCCCCCAATGCCCTGGGTAGGAAGCTATCCCTCCCGAAGAACTCTCCTCGCCCACCTCTTTAACGCATTCTCCTCTCTGACCCATACAGGCCAGCAGCAACTCACTGTCTAACACCTGCTCAGACTTGACCTGCTGTCTCTGTCTGTGTGTGCACTGTCTCCTGATCTCACCCTGCACGTCTCATTACAGCCTAAAACGGCGTCTGCCTTCACCTCCCAGCAGGGTCTACCTGCCCAAGAATGATGTCTTATCCCCAGCCTACCCCTTCCTCATGCCTGACACCCTCCTGGAACACAATGCCCACATCATTCTGAATCCTGTCCTCACCTATGACTTCTCCATCCTCCAGCTCTGATCCACAATTGCACCTCAACTTCCCTTTGACTCACCCAGTCCCTCCCTTGCATTCACTCCTGCTCAGTCTCCCACTGCCCTATCCCAGGTGTGCATGTTTACTGGGGACAGGGGGAGTACCTGAAAATAGTTGAACATGGCCTGTTTGACGAAGCCAATGTCATGAGGAGCCGCCTCGAGGTTGTCAATGGAGTCAAACACAATTTTCACTGCTTGGTGTGCAATCCAGTAGGCTGCGGAGAGCAGAGAGGGCTAAGATGGGGCAATCTCCCCGAGCTCACAGGGAAGGAAACCCAGACCTAGACAGGGTTAGCAATCAGCTTGAAATTATTACAGCAAATAAGGTGTCCCAATTCCTAGCCTGGGGGCCTCTAATTAAAGTGTCTCTGACTGATCAGCATAAGAGAAAGCTGGAGGGGGAAGACAGAACAGGTGAGGCAGTGTCACACCAGCTCCTACCCAAAAATAAAACAAGGTCAGTCAGTTGTCACAGAAACCACTAGAGTCACTGCCATGAGCTGGACCCCAAGAGCCCCTATGAAAACGTACACCTGTTCCCTATAAAGAGGTGATGGTGGGCGGAGCCTCTATACCTCTTTCCCACTAGCAGACTGATACGGTATCTCCTGGCATCTGAGGCCTTATCCTTCATAGTGTCAACTCTTCCCTAAGGACTCCAAAAGTCAATACAGGTAGGCAGTAGCTATCATGCTGAGGCACGAATCTGGATCCTGGGTACAAATCACTGCTGAAGAGCAAGACCAGCCACTAGTCGAGCATTCGCATCTCTATGATCTCTCAGTCATTATCCTGTACTCGCAACGATCAGATTCAGAGGCTGTCCCCAGAGTCCCAAGGGGTTGGCTGGCTGATAGTAGGGGAGAGGAAGATGGAAAGATGCAGGAAGGGAAGAGTCCAAGACCCTGAGCCAGGCCCAGCTGGCATGAGCTCACCTGAGCCCTCGTCCCCCATCATGTGGCCCCAGCCACCACAGCCGCTCTCAGAGCCATCAGGGTTGATGAGCCTGCAGTTGGAGCCTGTCCCAGAGATGAGCACGATCCCACCTGGGGAAAGGGCACACAGGCTCAGTGTGGCCAAGGCCTTGCACAGAGCACAGCTTCCGAATGAGGAAAGAAGGAACAGAATCCAGCCCAGGGGAAAAGGGATCTCCACCCAATCTTGTAGAGAAAACCAAGCCTGGCTAGTCTCCCACCTGAAGGTGGAGGGCCTGGGTCTCAGATAAACTTCAATCACATAGAGCCCTTCTCTGGGGGACAAAAAGGAACATGAATCTGTGTCTCCTTGCCCAGCCAGCCTTCAAGTGATGACCCGCTTTACTTGGTACCAACTATGTGCCAGAGACCATGCTAGCATCCTGTCCACACAGTGATACTCACTCAGTACCCTAAACCACCTTATGAATACACTTGCCCCCATTTTATAGATGAGGAAACTGAAACTCAGAGAGTTCCATAACTTGTCCAAGATGATACAGCTGGCAAAACAGGAGCTGAGATTCAAATGCCAATTCCATGATACCAACGCTGTTCACGCTCCTATTAGAGCTCCTCCCATTTTCTTCTCAGCACTTACTGCATTCCCCAGCTAGCCTCATCACTGCACTGCCCCAGGGTGCCCTGATCTGGAACAGAGTCATATGTTTGACTCCATTCCTTGCTTCCCATCAAGATACCCTTCCTGCCCTCCCTCCTGTCCAGTCCTTGCTCTGACAGGGACTTATGCTAATGAAAAGAATTGGGGTGAGGGGGAGTATGATGGAGACTGCCTTCCAGATATTTGCAAGACAAGTTCTGCCAGCTACATCTAAGGGGATTTCCCCATCAGACCAGTTCTCAACCTCACCCCTCCCTCCACCTCCTCACCATCCGGCGTAGCTGTGGCGATGGAGCCGGCGGCGTCGGTGGTGATTAAGTAGCTTTCACTCAGGTAGGGAAATCGGTCCCTCAGCTCCTCCATCAGGATCCTCACCGCATCCTCCTGCTCCCCACCGCTCAGGGAGAGGCCCTAGGCCACGCGGGAGGTGAGCGAGCGAGCGAGCAGGGCCCCAGACCCAGCTCCTTTCTCAACCCCCTCCCCTCCTGATGTCTGCCCCCTGCTCTCTACATCTGGGCATATCCTGCTCAGCTAGCCCCAGTCCTTCTTCCACCCCACATAGTGAGCCATGAGAAGGGTGTGGCTGCAAGAAGAGCCTGGCCTGGGAATCCAGAGAGAGGGGATTCAACAATGCCAGGTTTGGAGCTTGGGAGGACAATAGTGCCCCAACAGCAAAATCAGGCAGAGGAGCAAGTTGAGGCGAGATAAGATGAGACAAGACAAACCCCATGAAATACACAGCGTTTGGCTGTGTATGCAGAACATCTCACTGAGGACTTGTCGAGAGAGTAACCAGAGCTAGAGCAACTTGGGAGGAAGGTCTGAGCTAGGAATAACAGCTAACATTTAATTTTAAATTAATTAAATTTTAATGAGTGCTTATGGGTCAGGCTCTGTGCTAACCACCTTGAGATGTACCATATTTTATTTTCCCAACAACTCTGAGATAGCTACTGTTATCTGCATTTTCAGATGAGGAAACTGAGGCTTAGAGAAGGTAAGTAACCTGCTTAGGGTCACAGAGATGTTGAATGACAAAGCCGGGATTCAAACCAAGGGTTCAGTGGCTCTCCAAAGCTCTGTGCTTTGCCAATCCTTGTGGCTTGTAGGTGACAACTGAAGCCACAACAATAGATGAGATCATGTGAGTTTCCAGACCAGAGACTAAGCCCTCAAGACCTTTCCCCCTGCAGTCAGTCACATGTCTAGTTCAAACTCGCTGTCTCAATGTTGCTGTGACTTAATTCTCAGGCTTTACCCCAGACTCACCAAGCTCCGTAGAGGTACCAGAGGATCCACCCCTGCTTTCCGTTTGGCCCTGTTCACCATCTCGTTGATCCTCTCCAAACACTTGTCTGTCCCGATCAGCTGGCCCCAATCAAGGGAAGGCGGAGTTACAAAGACTTGCATGACCTACAAGCTGCTATATGAGCCCCCAGCCACCACCTTAACAGGAGTTACAGAGAATAAAACCACAACCAAGCCCAGTGGTCCCCTCAGTGTGGCCTTTACCCAGTGGTTTGTGCTGAGTCCATCCGCTTCTGCCAGGATCTGTCCATCCTCTGAGAGTAAAAGGACCTTGGACCGTGTGCCTCCCCTACAGAACACAAGGGGGCACTCAGTCTTGCTCAGAAAAACCTGCAGAAACAGCTAAGCTTGTGCAGTACTTTTCACAGGCAGAGCCCAGTGTGATGGAGACAGCTTCAGCAAACCCAATCACCATTCCCAAACCCAACCTCTGTGGTTTGGTGTCTGCTGTGCTCTTGGACTGAAACACAGTTCCTGCGTAGCTTCCCTTGGGGATGTCCTACTTATCCTGCAAGACCCTACTTATACATCACCTAGTCCTTGAAACCTCTGATGTGTGACCCACCCCTATAGTTCCATTAGTTAAGCCATGTCAGTGCCCCCATAACTCTCAAGGATTCTCTGTATTAAGAGTGTGTTTAGTTGTTTTCCTGCCTCTTGCTAGACTACAAGCTCCATTAGGTTAAGCTCCAGATCATTTATCTATCCTCATGCCTAGCACAGGGCCTGGCACAGGCAACACTCAGTAAATGTGACTAAAGAGAATGGCACAGCTCTCTGTTTCTTTTACAATAGCTAAAGGCTGCCTTTCAAGACTCAGGTCCAGCTGCAAGGTCTTCAAGACACCCTTGTGAGCAATACTGACCAGATGACACGGAGAGTTTATACCTACTTAAGCAGCTAAATGGTCAAATGCTTATTAGTGGGGGAAAAGGTAGTTTGAAGGGAGGTCTGTGGGGATGTGATGTATGTTTCTTTATTCATTAGTACTTTTAGGACTATCAGAAGAGGACACTGAAGACCTGCTGATCATAACTCAAAGATGACAAGAAGTTTCAAGGGATAGTTAATGCATGAGGCGGCAGATTCAACATCAACAGAATCTCTTGACAAACTGGAAAAGTGCATCACATCTTACACATGAACCTAACAGGGTTGAATGCAAACTCCTGTACTTAATTTTTTTTAAAAAGTGCAATAGATACAGGATGGGGGAGATCAACCTTAACAATGTGAAAAAAAGACTGGGGTCCCTGAGTCAGCAGTGAGATGTGGCTGCCATAAAAGTGATCCAATCTCAAAAGTAAGTGCCCTGGCTGAGACAACAGCCACCCTCTATCATGCCCTGATTTGACACACCCTGATTCACAGAACGTTGTCACTGGCTGGGGATTTGGCGATCATCTCCTTCATCCCTCTTCTCACTTTACACATGGGGTAACTGAAGCCCAGACAGGGCAAAAGTCTTGCCCATATTCAAATCGAGGGGAAGAGCTATTACAAAAAGTCCAGTAGACAAGCTTCTGAGCAGGAAAAATGCAATAACAGAGGGTTCGATCTAGCGTGAGGACCCTGAAGTGCCGACAAGAACGGAGGCGTTTCAGACAGGCTAGCATTCTGGCTCGCAGCTGCTCCAGCTCCCAGATACCCTCCGGCAAAGATCTTTGTCCCAGCTACCACCACACTCACACTCCCACTCCCCACTCCCTGGACCTGCAACTTTACACCTGACAGCTGTTCTGCAAAACTCTCTCTGGGGTCGGGAATAGGGAAAAGGAGCTTCTCCAGCGGGGGACGCTGGAGCGGGTCTTTCGTGGGAGAAAGGGGCGTGGTTCCGCCGTGAAACACAAAGGAGCCCCTGGGGTGTGGCCGTGGTACACGCAGTCCCTGCAAGACACACGCCCATGCGCTCAACGGCACCGCCGCGCGTGCACAGACCCCTCCTCCGCAAGGCCTCGCAGCCCAAAAGGCCAAAGTGGCCAGACCCTGAGGCGGGAGACCACCACCCTGCCTGTGGCCGGGCCACAGCCTTCCCTCTGCCCCGCCCTTGGACCCACGGTGGCCCAGGCCGCTTCCAGGCCGCCCCTCCCGGACTGCCTCTGCCGAGCCGCACTCACCCCTCCACACCCCCGTAGAGAGCGGCCATGCTGCTGCTCCCGCCGCCGCTGCTCCCGCCGTTTGCTTCGCCCCGGCTGGCGCTTCCCTCCCGCACGCCCGCTCAGCACCGCCCCGCGTCACGTGAAGGCCAGCACGGTCCAGCGGATTCCGAGGACGCGTGCGCGGGGCGTGGCGCCGCGAGGCACAGCCTGCCCAAGCCGGCCCCGCCCCGGTGAGTCCCCGGCCGGAGCGAGTGCGGTCCTCAGCGGCGCCTCCGGACCCCGGCCAGCCCCTCCCCACCTCCTGGACCCTGCTTCCGGAGATGGACACCGGATCCCGAACGGAGGACCCAGAAAGGGGTGTCCGACTGCGGCCCTGCCCGCCCCTCAGCACCCGGAAGTTGCTGGCAGCTCAGCCTGGCGCATGCGCACTCCTGTGAGCCACGTAGGCTGTCGGTGACGGCCAATGATGCACGGACGGCAGGACCGCCCACGGGGGTGTGGGCAGGGAGAGTTGCACAGGCATGTTGGGGCTCAGTAGGTCTCCTAGAACTGTAGTTCGTAATGTTTAACCCAATACCTGCCCGGCGATGGCGGGAGTTACACGTGCACACACAAACACCCACTCAGACTTCACCCTGTATTCGCGTGAATATGCGTACCCGGGAGTAACGAGAGGCGGGCTGAGGAAGGAGCCAAGCCCCCCAGGCTGGCCTTGCAGCCCAGCTTGTACTACCCGCCCCCTGCAGTTCCTTGTGGAGAGTATTTGCGGGGACATGGACTACCGGGCAAACTAGCAGATACGGTTTTACAAGCCTGTTGTTGCCCTCCAGCCACCACCCCGCTCCTCTTCCTTACACGGGGTCGGAAAAGGGAAAGGGAGCGCGAAGGGGGAAAACACTGGCCAGGTCTGGGAGTCAAACTGGGGCTCCTGCCGGCCTCCGCGGGCTCTTCCGGGCGGTTCTGGGCCCTCGAGGGGCAGCTTCGTGGACCAGGAGGCCGTCAGCTGCGCTTGGCATCTCTTCGGGAACTTCAGCCTAGGGACAGGTTCTTGGCAGGGCAGTTCTCAAGCTGGCCTTGAGAACTGTCCCCGACTCCACCCCCCGACTTGCCTGCGGTCTTATAGAGAAATCTTTCGCTAGGAGCTTCTTTCCTTGATAGCCAGCTGGGTCTGGTTGTGCTTCGACGTGAACATTTGCTGTATGTGAGCCTTTTAAGCTAGAAGAGAGGAGTCTTTTCCTTATTTCTTACCTATTTGGGACGCTGAAACACTACAATGTAATCCCCAAGAGTAACTAAAAAGTAAATGACAGAGTGGCCTGGTGGTGTAATGGTTAAGGTCGCCCGCTTCCATTCGGCTGTCTGGGTCTGCCCGTCCGGAACCTGTCCGGAACGGGGCGCAGACCTACGCACAGCTCATCAAGGCATGCAGTGGCGGAGTCCCATATTCAAAGGAGAGGAAGATTGGCACAGATGTTCCCTTAAGGACCATCTTCCTCAAGCAAAAAAAACAAAAGAGGTGGATTGGCAATGGATGTTTGCTCAGGGCCAATCTTCCTCACCAAAAAAAAAGTAAATCACGACATGATAGAGAATATCAGAGACAGCAGTAGGTTTTTTTTATCCTCATGTCAACCTGTAAAAACAGAAACCAGTTTAAGAGGCAAAGCGTTGATTTGGGATCAAAGAATCACAATTCGGGGAGCACAGATTTAGAAAGAAACCCAAATAGTGTCCTGGTTACAGGAGAGGGGGCTTAGGGTTTTTATGGGAAAAAGGGAGGATAAGGTGAGTTGTATTAAAGAAGAGTCCATTGGTGCTGGATAAGGTAAGGCTAGGTTTGTACTTCATAGACTGGCTTGAGGTTCAATCATCAAGGCTTGTAATTCAGTGAAGATTTGTCCTTCATTGATTGATTGGGTAGCGATCAGGACATGAGCAAATGCCAGTTCCACTAGTCTTGACAAACAGGATATTCTTGTCCTTACTGACTTCTTTGGACTCTTGGCGGTTTGGTCCAGTTTGGAAGATAAAGAAAACAAGATGTGCAAGGCAATTCCTCCGAAATGGCTGCTCTGGCTCTATTTTAATATAGCTCCACTCATGTCAACTTTCACACCCACCTATATCGTTTACATCCATAGCAATCAGAGCTGGAAGGAGCTTAATCCAACACACATATTTTTAGGATAATGGTACTAATAGATTCTAGTGGGATTAAACTGGACAGAATTTTTGGAGGAGAGGAGATTGTAGGTGGCTTTTGACAGAATGTGCCTTTTTGTGCACTAGTGCAGTGAGCCTTGGGACCTATATGTATGATAATATTCAAGTTTCCCTTTGTATTCCTTGTTTAGAAAAGGAAGCAGGGCCGGCCCCCAGGTTTAGCGGTTAAGTGCGAGCTCTCCGCTACTGGTGGCCCGGGTTCGGATCCCGGGCACGCACCGACGCACCGCTTCTCCAGCCATGCTGAGGCCACGTCCCACATACAGCAACTAGAAGGATGTGCAACTATCACATACAGCTATCTACTGGGGCTTTGGGGAAAAAAAGAGGAGGAGGATTGGCAATAGATGTTAGCTCAGGGCCGGTCTTCTTCAGCAAAAAGAGGAGGATTGGCATGGATGTTAGCTCAGGGCTGATCTTCCTCATAAAAAAAAAAAAAAAAGTTTTGGAAACCGTAAAGTACTACACAGATCTTAACTAATTTTTATTTACATTACTAATTAGTGTGTGCTAACACAGTAGCCACATGTGACTACTGAGCATTTGACATATGGCTAGTTCAAAATGAGATGTGCTGTAAGTGTAAAATACACTCAGGATTTCAAAGATGTAGTACTAAAACAGAATGTAAAAATATCTCCAATAATTTTTATATGAATTACATATTGAAATTATGGAGATAGTGGCTTAAAATTACATATTATTAAAATTAATTTTGCCAGTCTGTTTTTATCTTTTTTAATGTAGCTCTTAGAAAATTTTAAATTACACATGTGGCTCATATTTGTGGCTCACATATTTCTATTGTGCAACACTGTTCTATATCTTGTCTCCTATTCATCCAGACCAGGATATTTCAAAGTCACTGAGTGCCTGTTTATGAATAAATAATGGCACATGATTGATTTAAAGAAGAAAACGACGTTGAATAAAAGATTAATAGTACTTCTATACATTTGTGTTGTACGTTATAGTTCTATTAAGCTCTTTTATGTACCTTTATCTCATTTGGTCATTTTAACAACCCCATAAAAATATCAGAGATTTCTAACCACATCTTACAAGTCAGGAAACTGAGGCTCTGAAATCAAAGTAATGAGCCTAGGCTGACACAAATTATAGATGTTGCTTATTAGGGGTGTGGGCAGTTACCGTAATGGGAAGGAAATAAAGATGTTGCAATGCAGACAAGTGTTAACGTCTATCTAGCCTTGTAAAAGTGTATTGCTCCTTTGTGCTGGAATTGCAACATCCCACCTGCTGCACACTCACGAGGTTGGTAAAATCCTCTAAGAATCTGCAAGCCACATTCTTGTTCTCTGTCTTCTCCACTTTGTCCCCATGACTCCAGGGAGGCCATATTTCCATTGCGGAGGGGAGGACAGGTAATAGGGACAGTGGAAAAATATCTTCCCTTCTAACTCCACTTATGATTTTGAGGCAGAGAACTTTGGGATCCAAGGTCCTCAACAGGTTTTGTTGACTTGGTTTGTGGAATCACAACCATATCTGTTTTTACTCACCACTATATTTCCGGGGCTAACCTTAGTCTTGGTACTATGATAGGAGGTCCATAAACAGTTTTGAGAGGCCTTAAAATCGATAAAGCACTGTACCACAAACATGACAGGTAGTAAGTGCTCCACTGTGAACTAAAGAAGGGAGCAAGCAGATTCTATGGCAGACAATTTGCGGAACAGATTGGAGAGAGAAAGATGTTTGGAGAAAATAGAACTGAAATTGTAATCAGGAAGCAGGAGTTGGGCAAGTGGTCAGGGGATTTCAAAGGGATCTTGCCCTAATCTGTCCTGCATTGGGAAGTTGTCAGTACATGTGTGACCTCAGCACTGTGCTTTAGGATAATTAATCTGGCAGGTTCCTTATAGCAGGACAAATGGGAGGGAAGAGCCTAGAGCAGGGAGACATTCAGAAGGCTGGGGCAATGGCCCAGGCAAGAGGTGAACAAGGAAGATGTAATGCCAAAACGGAATGTAAAAATACCTCCAATAATTTTTGTATGAATTACATATTGAAATGATAATATTTTGGAGATAGTGGGTTAAAATTACATATTATTAAAATTAATTTTGCCGCTCTGTGATAACGGACAGGGCAGAGCAGAAGTCACGGGGAGGGGATCCAAGTGGAGGGCCATGCTGACCTCTCCCTCTGTTGATCTGGGATGAGGGCAGAGACAGAGGCTGGAGTTGAATTTCCCACAATGAAAGAGAGAGTGTGAGGGGCTGCCTCACTGAGGGTGGAGGTGGGACTCTGAGGCTGGTAGCTATAAAGCAAGGGAAGGGCTTTTCCAGGCCTACAGGACCGCTAGAAACAACCCAGAAGGGGCGGGAGCCAGGGTTGGGGGATGGCACAGGGGCCCCAGAGTGCAGAAGCAGATGTAGATGATGGACTGTAAACAGTCTGCTCTTCAAGTCTCCTTAGCCACGTACAGAAAGAGAAGGAAAAGAGGGACATTATCTGCCGTTGATCTGAAGTGGTTCTGAGAAGCATGGGGCCTTAGGCCAGGGCAGCAAACCCAGAAAATCAGGTTGGTTTATTCCCTTTTCCTGAGCGTGTGGGGGTGTGTGTGTGTATTATGTATGCATGTTTTGTCTTGTGTTGATCTGTATGTAGATGTGTACATATTTATTTGTGTATTTCTGTGTTGTAAATACACCTTGGCAATTTGAAACTGTCTTTGTATATGTTTCTAAGTGACTAATGTGTCTACAGTACATGTATTTGAGATAATATCTCTATGCATTTTTCTGTACTAGTATATGTACAGAATTAGAATTTCAATTCTTAAAGGAACCTAAGCAATCCTGCATATCTAGGCACCTTTGAGCAGGTGCATAGATGCATAAAGGTAACTTTGCTGCGTTGGCCGAACCTGGCT